AGTTTATTTTCTTTCAATCCTGTTTATTCTACTAATGTACTAAGCAAACTTTCTTTGTTCTCGGTAGTGCCAGAGTAAACTGTCGCCTAGCCTGTGCCTGCTTTTGCCTGATTCTGTGAATTAATAAGGTTCAGACTAACTTCCAGACAGACATCCAGCCTGGCTAGGTGGTCACTGGACTCAATTCCGCCTCGTGACTGAGTCCCAAGTGAGCAGGGGAGACCTGCTGGTGTAGATGCTGCGTTGTTTAGGAATGTCATGCACATGAATGAATGACACTTGGGTCTCCATTACACCACAGGAGGCTCCCCAGGTTGGGGACCACCATTGCTGCTGTGCTGCTTCCCATCTGAGGAGCCTGGCTGGGCCCAGCTCCCCTTGCTCCCTCCCTGCTCCTGCCCGGCCCATGGGCAGAGCATTGCTTACCGCCCGCTAGGAGGCTGCACTACAACGGCCCCCGCAACGGCCTGGTCCCCGAAACTCAGCAATGTTACCTTAAGGAGAGAGAGGGTCTCCGCAGGTGTGATGAAGGATGGAGATACGAGGAGGTCCGTGCAGGTGGTTTCGCCCCAAATATCTTGGCCGCAGGGCGACTCGGCCGTAAGGCAATTTTGCCGTAAAAGAAAGAGCAATGAAGAAATGGGAGCATGAATAAGAGCATAATCACGCAACATGGAAAAAATAAACAAACAAACAAACACACTTGATCAAACACACCACAATAAAAGTACTTTATTGTAGAAGATGAAAATATATCATCTTGGAAGACCTTTTGTTCATAGTATCGCACTTTTTTTTCCTTTTTGCTTAATTTGTCTTCTCCTTCCCATTGACTTTTTTTTTTCTTTGCACTTGAATACTTAAATTTCTTCATCGAGAGAGAGTTTCCAACTAAAGAATGGATAATCAATGCTCTTGAAAACTGTTGTGAATGAATAGCAGCCTCTTTTGCGGGGCTAGCGTTTTGTCTTTGCAGGGCGGCAGGGAGGACAGTGCTCACCGAGGATTTGCACACATGGGTTTTTAACCATTTTCTAGGATAGTATGCAATCTGGCAACCAGCTTACATACATCGTCTGTTGCTTCCATCCATAGAGACATGAAGCCAAACTGTCGACCCATTATTTTTTTTCTTTTATGGAGAAATTGCCTCCGGCCAACACTTGTGCTGTGAAAATGTTTGCAGCAAATGCTAGGGGCATCAATGCTGGCAGTAAAGCTATGTGCACCCACAGGACTGGCCTCAGGGAGAGGAGCCTGGTGAGCCTTAAGGCCATCACCAAGGTCCTTCCAGGAGAAGAGGGAGGCTGCCTACAGAGAGCAAGAGGCAGGGTGACCAGGGGAGGCAGGAATGAGAGCCATGTGGTTGCAAGACAAGGGATGCTGACAGCCACCAGGAACTGGAGACATAAGGAAGGTATTCTATTTTTTTTTTCTTAATATATGTTTTCATTGATTTCAGAGAGGAAGAGAGAGGGAGAAGGAGAGAGAACATTAATGATGAGAGAGAATCACTGACCCACTGCTTCCTGCATGCCTCACATTGGGGATGGAGCCCACAACCTGGGTGTGTGTCCTGACCAGAATTGAACAGTGACCTCCTGGTTCATAGGTCACAGTGCAACCACTGAACTATACCAGCCGGGCACCCTGCTGACATCTTGCTATCAGACTCTGGCTTTCAGATCTGAGAATGAAGAAATTTCTGTAAAGTCGCCAAGTTTGTGGTCACTTGTTACAGGAGTCATGAGAAACTAACATGCTCTCCTTTCCCTATCTCCAGAGAAGGTTTGAGTGAGACATAAATATATCGGAGAAAGAAAAAGTAGCTGGGATTTTAGCTGTGTGCCCTCTGGAGTGGTGAGGAAAGGAAGCTATGTAAGCTTTCACCCATTGTTTCCTGACTTTGGCCACTTCACAGCTCAGTTTTGTCTGAAAATAAGAGGGTGGACGCCTAATTAAGACTTTTAAATATCTAATTTTTTTCAGATTTTATAACAACTTAATTTTTTAGTTTTAATTTCAATATTGAAACTAACATGTTGACTCATTTTAAAATTATAATAGTTATAAACATTGGAATTGGAATGTGTTACATATGAGATCACAACATGTTGAAGGCCAAATTGTGTGTTAAATTCTGCTGCCAGCTTAATTTAGTTTGCTGTTAACATCAGAAGACTACTCCCCCATTCACTCTATGATTAATTCAATGATTCCCCATTGTGGTCAAGGGAGGACAATAGAATACCCTAAGGTTGCTTTGCCCTCCAAAATCCAAAATTCCAATATGAAGAAACATTGCTCTTTTTGCCATCCTTCCCGAAATAGTGGGTAAAATCCTAGATGATCAATAAAGAAATGTTGCTTAGATGATTTTCTTTCTTTCTTTTTTATTTTTAAAGGAGATTGGGAAAGGGTGACTGAATTAAGCAAAAATCAAACAAACATAAAAAATGCATAGACACAGACAACAGCATTATGATTACCAGTGGGGAAGGGGAGGGGTAGGAAAAGGTAGAAGAGGGTATAGAGAAGATAAAGGAGATGGAAGGAGCCGTGACTTGGGGTAGTAAACATACAATATATAGATGATGTATTATGGAAGTGTGCACCTGAAATTTGTTTATTAGCCAATGACACCTCAATAAAATGACAAAAAAGAAGAGATTGAAGAAAAGTCCTGTAAAGAATACCCAAGCTTGCCAGCTCCCACCTGAGAACTGAGCAGATCTGCATGATCAACTTGTGGGTCCCTGAGCACTTTGATTTCTGCAAGACTCATTTAAGCATCTAAATTTTGCTCACCTCATTAGTCACCTGAAATGAGAAGTATTAGTTAAGGTCAACATTTTATATTTAGCTAGACACCTGATGCACGAATTCGTGCGCGAGTGGGGTCTGGCCAGCCAGAGGCAGGGGCCACAGGTGGCTGGTTGGATGGCCCCGCCCATGAACAGGGTGGAGGGGGCATATGAGGGTGGGACTGGTCCAGGGGAGCAGCCATGGGTGGTTATCTGGCCAGCCCTGCCCCCAGGTTGAACTCCGGGTCAAACTCATGGTTGAACTCCCATCAAGGGGACAATTTGCATATTAGCCTTTTATTATATAGGAAGGAAGATAGTTATTCTCAACAAGCAACTGAAAAAATGGCCTTGACATACAGTGTTTTTTATGTTTTGTCCCCTTGTTTATATGTTATGAGGCAGGCACCTTAGGTTGGTTATGTTATCACATCCAATATGGACAATTAATGGTGCATCATGATCTCTCTGCAAATAGTGCTTCTCAGGCACAGGAGAAGCAACTGCCTTTGCAGATCAGGATGCTTCTAAAGTCATTGTGAATTTGATTGGCAATGGGTATCATCTAGCCTATAGAATCATATCTCAACCCCTCTGGGGAGCCCACCAGGTCCTCTATAACCCACACTGCCCTCCAGTCCCCCTCAACATGCAAACCCTTTCAATGGACAAATGAGATGTGTGAAATCCAGTCTTTTACAAATCGCAAGCATGAAATGTGTGCATCTTTACTCATCAGAGCCACTTTACCACACCATTTCACTGCTCCTCAAAATGCAAACCTCTTTCTCCGGCAAACTCCATCTAAAAGTTGGGCACATTTGACCAAACTTTGTGCCAGTTCTTGGGTAGAGGCTCTGTAAGCCTTTTGGACACTCACGGAATTTCTCTTTTTCTCTGCTACAGTGGTGGAGGAAGTAGAGTGCTTGTATAATATAGTTATAATGAAGAACTTTTCTAGTTTCATAGCCCGCAGTCTCTAATTCATTTTAATATAAGTTATATTAATTAGCCACATAGAAAGGACAATCTATTGCTTTACTGTTTTGACATGTTATTACAGCTATTAATGCCGTGGTGAACCTATTCTCTTCATATATGGGGTTGCTCTCATATCTTCAAGAAAAAAAAACAGTATGCCAAACGTCTCCAACAATCTGGAATTTTATTCCATCCATATACATGCATAGTAACAACATTTGTTGAGAAATTATTTCTATCAGAAGTAGAACATTATCTTTGTGATCACCAGGTGCAGTATTGCTACTATTATATTTAAATAGATCTTATATATGAATTAAATTCATACTTGCAGCATTGAGTTCAGGGTTTCGATTTAGACTGTGCCTTTCAAAAGATAAAACTGGTTAATACTACTTCGTTTACTTACAATACTGCTTCCAGTAATTTTGTTCATTCTTTATAAAGTATTGCATTTAACAGCAAAGGTTTAAAAATTGAGAACAGAGCTGCATCAGCGAAAGAAAATACAAGTACTATACAAGAAAAAAATGGCCATCTTCATTTATTATAACATACATGTTTTAAGGTTAAGAAAATGGACAGAAACATACGGCTACATACAAATGCAAAGCCTAGTGACTAAGGGACGGTATCTGCTAAAATATAAAGTGCAAACAGGGCCTGATTATCCAAGAATTGAAATCTTAAGGCGAACTTACAGCATGTGTACTTAGAACATCTTTGCAAGTTATATTTTAGCATATACGTTCATCTGCAACAGCATATAAGAAGAAAACCAAGGTACACGAGTGCTTTTGAAGCTATTTCTAAAATGCTTTTTTTTTCTGTATTGTTTGTGACTATTTTCTTTAAAAGCTACTATACAGTGCAAACCATATGTGCTACACAATAACTATACAATAACATTACAAATGACTTTAATATAAAGTTTTGTTTTGTTTTTTTAAATAAAAATAACATAACCACAGCTATGAATACTGCCGGTAAAATAAATTAATTCTTTTTCTTGAAAATGGCACCAATAATACACGTTACTAATGGACTGTAATGAAAGTACACCTTAAGTCTTCCATTCGGCCATCCCGGTTACCCGGATGCAACCCACACAGCTTCTGTTTCTGTTGGTTTATCTTCCTTCTGGGCCGGGAAGAATCAACGTTACTCAACACTGTACCAAAAGGGGACTTGGCGTCTCTAAGTTAGCTAGTCATCTCATTTGACGTGTTCCGCTGCATGTGACGAGCAATAAAACTTCTTGTGGGTTATAAAGTTCGAGAGGTTGTTGAACTGGATGTCACACAGCCGGCAGTACTTGCCGCTGGTGGGAGCCTGGCTGGAGCCGTTCACCCCCTTCGCTATACTGGACAACTGTTCCTCCGCAGAGGGCACTCCTGGGGATTCGTTCTCATTGGGGGCCAAAGGGTTCTCCGAGATCCAGGAGGGAGATTTGTGGCCCTCTTCGTGCTGGGGATTCTGGGAAATGTTCTCCTGCTGCGGGTTGGTGGCGGGGGCAGGTCTCTCATCTGGCTTCAGTCCCCCGTTGACGATGACCATGCCTCTGTTTTTGGGCAGCAAAGGCAGGGAGTCCTTCTTGGGCGCCGTGCACCCGTTGGAGGCAGCCTGGCCTTTGGGGGGAGATTCATTTTCTGCATTCGTGCCTTGCTCCAGGTCGGCATTATTATGGATGACCAGAGAGCCTGCAAGGTAATCGCTAGGCTTGATCCCATAATATGGAGAGAGCTGGTCGGCGGCTCCCTTGGCCTTCTTGATGGCCCCCGGGTAAAGGCATTGCGGCAGGAACAAATGTTTGCTTTCTTCCTTTGTGGCGATGAGCTGGGCGGCCTCGCTGAAGACCTTCAGGCCTTGCAGGGTGGCCAAGTGCGAGGAGAAGAGGTTCCCGTTGGGGTTGGGGGAAGGCTGCTTCAGGCTCCCGTTCTTCTCGCACTTGAGGATGCTCCGGTCATAGCCGGCGGCGGCGGCGGCATCTGGGCTGCTGCGCCCGCTCTCCGGGTTCCCAGCAAATGCTTTGCTGCTGTCCAGCTGCGCCGCCAGGTCGTTGCGCTGGTGGGCGGTGACCGGGCAGAAATTCTGCTTGTGGGCCAGGTAGTTCTCCACCTTGTTGAAGCTGATCTTGCACACGGTGCACTCGTGGTAGTCCAGCAGCCTCTTGGGGGACGCGGTGGTCCGCTCGGCCTGGGATAAGCACTTCTTGCTGAGGTCCATGGGCACGTCCATCTCCAGGCAGGACGCGCTGGAATGAGCTGGGGCGTCACATTTGGAGACAGGGACGCACTTGTTGAGGGTCAAGGACGTCTCCAGGTGCTTGGAGACGATGCCCGGGAAGATGTCGCATCGTGGGTGGTAGCACTCCCCGAGCCCGTCGGGGGGCTCCTGGGCGGAGGAGGTGCATGGATTGCCGAGGCTGGCCACGTCCAGGAAGCGCTGCTGCTGGACCAGCGCGGGCCTCGGCTCCTGCTCGGGGAGGCACATCTCGTACATCTTCCTCCGCTTGCGTGTGCGCATGGTCCTCTGCATGGCGGGCACTTTGCTGGAGGCCGACCTCTTGAGCGGCGGGTCGTGGCGGGTGGCGCAGTAGTACTGCTTGTGGACCATGTAGGTCTCGTGCCGGCTGAAGGTGATGTTGCAGGCCTCGCAGGTGGTCTTGTTGGGGTCGCTCTCCCCGTCCACCAAGGGGGTTTTTGCATCCACGGGTTTCCCGTTCATCTTGTCGTCGTTGCTGCTGGAAGTGGTGGAGAGCTTCTTGGCCTGAGCAGAGAAGTCCTTGTCGTGGCTCTTCCCGTTGGGCCCGATTAAATCTAAGACCACGGAGGAGGAGTTGATGCAGGATGTTGGGAGGAGTGGGTTCCCGTCGGGATCGGCAGCGTGAGCGGCCGGGTTGAGGAGGTTCAGGGAGGTCTGGCCGGTGTTGGGGCTCAGGGCCTCGGGCATCTTTTCTGCAACCCCAGGGAACTCGGGGGACTTGGCCATCTGCTGCCATCGGCTGCTGCAGTAATGCTTCTTGTGCACTAGGTAGTTATCCAGATTGTTAAAGGTTATGTTACACTCAAAGCAAGTGGCCCCCTTGGGCATCAAGGGGCTGTAGATGACTGGAGGGTAGCTGCTGCTTCCGTGCCTCAGGCGCCGGTGCACCAGCTCGGACATCTTGGCTAAGATCTCTGAAGCCTGAGGGACCATGGTGATATCTTGGGGGAAAGCAAACTGAGAGAGGAAAGGACCCACCGGGAAAGAAGGCCCCATGTTAGGCTGCACGGGAGAGGAGGCAAGTCTTGGACTCGAAGGCTCAGACTTGATTTTCGTGTAGGAAAAGCTTTGCTTAGTTGTTGCCGGCTGGATCTCTGGCCTCTGGTTTGTGAGAAAGAGCGGAGTCTTTTTCTCACACTTGTCCAGCTCGGTGTCAGAGCTGGCGTCTTTAGTCTGCATGGCCTTTTGGCTCTGGGGGAGTTCGCTTCTGGCTAACAAGTCCGTGGCTGGCGGTAAGCTGTCCTCAGTTCCGCTGGGGGAGTGGTCCAGGTCACTTTCTCGGGGAAGTTTGCCCCCAGGGACATGGAGCTCCTGGTGCTGCAGAAGCTCTCTCTGAGTCTGGAAGCCGAAGTGGCAGTGAGTGCAGCGGAAGGCAGCTTGAGTGAGATGGGAGAACAGGTGCTGGTGAAAGTTGATCACAGAATCAGCATTGTAGCTACAGACGGTGCACTTCAGACTAGCACCAGGGGGGAGGAATTCTTCCATTTTCACTCCTGGAGAGACATACAAATAAGAATACTGAGACCTTCTTGTGTTGGTTTTGTAATGACAGGAACCTTGACAATGACCTAATGTCTTCAATACAACAGGAATGAACTGAAACCTTTTCAGAATCTCGTGGTGTTAGTGTAAGTAGTTAGCTAGTTATTAATAAAGGGAGGAAGCAAAGGGGATCAAACGTTAAGCTTAATAAACTAGGGAGCTGAATCGGATATTAAACCTAATCTACTAGGGAGCTGAATCTGACATTAAGCCTCATTCACTTGGAAGCTACCATATTCAGAGATTCCTCACAGGACTACTGCATCCTCCAAAAAAGTGGGCAGGAAGAACTGGTTACAGGTTATTAGCCAGGATTATTGAGGAAGGGATAAGAGCAAGAGCAGAGCCCACCCCTTGTAGCTAAACGGTTGACCGCTGACCCATGAACCAGAAGGTCACAGTTTGATTCCTGATTGGGGCACATGCCCAGGTTGCAGGCTGGATCCCCAGTAGGGGGCATGCAGGAGGCAGCAGATCAATGATTCTCATCATTGATGTTTATCTCTCCCTCTCCCTCTCCCTTTCTCTCTCTGAAATCAATAAAAACATACTTAAAAAAAAAAAGAGCAGGGGAAATTCATTTGTTAGGCACATGTGCACTAAAAACCAAGATGGCGCAGGGGAAGGTAAGTGCATGGCAGTAGAAACAAGCAAATCTTTGGAACATGCACAGTAGGAGCCAAAATGGTGACAGAGCCTAGCTGGGGAAAGAATCAGATTGGATAAGGACCATGGAACCCAAGATGGTTCAAGAAGGGACTGGTTAGGGTGGGAGGTGCAGAACAAGGAAAAACTTTCCTACAGAAAATGAAGACTAAAAGGAGGATTATCAAGTATCTGGGAGCAGTTGCTGCTAGATCCTGCCCACAGTCTATATCCCTAGGGTGTATCATTTCCCTTCACCCCATTAAATCTTGCCACTCCATTTAAACTTCTCTTAAGCTTGTGTGCCCTTTGAAATTTCTTTCTTGTGATACTGCAAGAACCCATTTTCACCAGCAACAATTCGTACTATTAACTTATTTCTTATAGATATATTTGGGGTCCTGGCTCACAGCTCCTAAAATCCTTAACATTTTCTGTGATAAGAGTGATAAAGGCATCTTTTGTTATGTTAATGGTGACCTTTGGAAAGCCCCTAGGTAACCAAAGGATGGGAGGCTTGTTGGCCTGGGGTTGGGGGAGGGGAAAGAAATCCATGATTAAAGGGTTGAAACTTTTAGTTTTCCCACATCCCCAACCTCCTGGGAGGTGGGTGAGGGGTTGGAAATAAGTTCAACAGCCAATGGCCAATGATTTAATCAATCATGTCTATGTAATGAAACCTCCATAGAAAACTAAAAGGATTGGGCTCAAAGAGCTTCAGGGTTGATGAACATGTAGATTAGGGGAGAATGGCAAACTCTGAGGAGGCATAGGGTGCTCCTCATCCTTTTCCCATATCTTGTCCTAGGCATCTCTTCCATTTGTCTGTCCCAGAGTTGTTTCCTTTCATAATAAATTGGTCATCTGGTGAATAAATGGGTTTCTTGAGTTTCATGTTCCACTCCAATAAATTATTCAAGCCCAAGGAAGGGGTCTTGGCAATCTCTGATTTATAGCCACCAGTTGGTCAGATGCACAGGTAACAATCTGGACTTGCAATTAACATCTGAAATGGGGGCGCTGTCTTGAGTCCTTAACCCATGGATCGAATGCTATCTCTGGGTAGATTGTATCAGAATTGAGTTGAATTACAGGATACCCAGTTGGTTTCTAAACAATTGCTTGGTGGTGGAGTGGGGGATTCCCCCCCACCCCCAAGGCATTGGAATTGAGATCCAGAGACTTTTACTCACTAAAGTTAACTCTAGTCCCCATTTGTTAGTTTATGGTTAAATCAGGCTTGGCTCATCCTCTCTGTACTCTAGACTAAAATGAGAATTGCCTTTTATATTTATACCAGTGGCCCAGTGCACGAATTCATGCACCAGTGGGGTCTCTCAGCTTGACCTACGGGATCAGACCAAAACTGGCTCTCTGACATCTCCCAAGGGGTGCCAGATTGCGAGAGGGTGCAGGCCAAGCTGAGGGACCCCAATAGTTCATGACTGGGACATAGGAGGTTTGCCATATAGGGAGTGACTAGGCTGTGTCCAGCCCTTTTCGCTCAGTCCTGATCCGCTGGACCCCAACCACAAGCTAACCTACTGGTTGGAGCATCTGCCCCCTGATAGTCAGTGTATGTCATAGGGAGCAGTTGAGTGACCTTAGCATATTATTAGCATATTACACTTGCATATTAGGCGTTTATTATATAGGGAGGTTAAAAAATGGCAGAGAAACCTGGCCCTATAGCTATAAAATGGAATTTCTTATCCTTGTCTCTCTTTCTCCTTAAGTAACCTAACATTTTTTTTCTATCCATCTGAAAAGATCCTTCTGTTATTGTTTTGTATATGACTTACCATCTGAGACCACCAACCTGTTTCTACTTCCCCTCCTTTATCACCTACATGAAAACAGATCATTTGTAGGAAAAGGGAAGAGAATGAGTAGAAAGGAAACTAACTATTTCTGCAGGTTCAAAGACAAAAGCTTGTGCTTTTCTAGAACATTGGAGGTTGGAGCTAGTTTGTTTACAACTCAGCACCAACTTCAGTTTTTTATTTATTTACCCGCAGCAAAAACATTGAAGAAAGTCACCAGAAATAGCCTATAAGTTTTGTATTATAGGTGCTGATGAACTGTTATTCCCAAAACTTGTTTGGCCCTACTCAAGAATATTTATAGAGATATCTAAAATTAATATAATTAGTTTCAATTAAAAGAATAGGAAAATTTGAATACTATGTGATGATACTAACAACAATTGGGCATATAATTCCAAAATAAATGGGAATAGTTGTCATCTTACTGTAAAGAATGGGCTTAAAACAAAAATATACTTATTTGTTTTTCAGCCTAATTTTTCTTAAGTGATTTAAAAACAGGACTAAAAGTGATTTTATGTCAAAAAAATCAACTAAGCTGTTATGATGTACTCTCTGGAAGTCAAGAGCATCTTATAGATCCATATTTAGAAGTTAATTTTTCTCAAGTGTGATTTTAATTGGACCTATCAAAATAATAGCTTTATTTCAATTCAGCAAATACTTCTTTTTAAGTACCTATTTTTTTCCTGCCATGTGGATAACAGTATGGTCAGTTTGCAAAGATCACTTGACACTTAAATCAATGAATATTAATGACAATGTACAAAGGGTATTGCAAGTTTCTAAAATAATCCTATTTTACTTCAATTTAAAAAAAAAAAAGAAAAAAAAGAAAAAAAGAAAGAATGATTTGGCCTGCAGTCTGAGGACAGTAGTTGTTAGAAAAGAATTCAGATTCAAGTCCTTTGAGTGGAAAATAAATGACATAACCAGCTAGTTGATCTAACTGGTTAGGTTTTAATTTTATTTGTAGCTAAAGTTAGAGACTATAGAGGTATACATGCATATATGTAAAGAATGGAGTATCCTAGAGCCAAAGAGGAAACAAGGGAGGCACTTACCACTGTGTGAATTCAGGTGCATTTCTAGAGCCCGGGCGTTTGAGAAACTCTTGGTGCATTGTGGGAAGGGACACAGGCTGGAAGTCTGAGCAGCACTGTCTTCGCTTTCTTCTGACACTGGAGCAGCTTCCCTTTGCCTCCCACTGCAATAGTACATCAAATGGGCTTGCAGGTTCCGCTCACTCCGATACCAGATGCCACAGGACTTGCAAGGGAATATATCCTCTGTAGACAAAAACACAGGGCGCATGAGCTCATGTCGGGGTAGAGCAGCCAATTGGTTCAATCTGCCTCAGAGACTGCTCTGAGGTTCTGGATTAGGCAGTTGGACAGTGAGTGAGGGCTGTGCAGTTGAGAATGCTGTTCCACAGAACGAGACTAAGGAATGTCATACTCAATGCAATTTACCTTCCCACAGTGTGTTTAGAAAGTGGTATTGTAGAAGACACCAACATTCAATAAAAACATGAGAGATTAATTTTTAAATTATTTACACTTTAGAAATATATGCATTTATAAATAGCAGCGTGAATTGGTTTCTCTGATTGATTAAGATGTAAGGATCTAATGGCTGAACTAAAGTTAACCCTGATGCCAACCCCTGACACCATCTTTTCATTTAATAAATTAGTTACAGAGAGCCTACTATGTGCCAGACTCTAGCCTGGGTTGGCTGTGAAAATGAAAAACCACACAGCTGTAATTAAGAAGCTTAAGGTCTCTTGGGGTTGATTATGGTCAGATAATGAAATTAGCATGTGATGACGATTATGATGGAGGTATCTGAGGGGTGGGTTAGGCATGGAAAAAAAGACACCATGTGGGTGAGAGAACTCATCTGATGGAGGGAGAAGGAGGTCAGATGAGGATTTAGAAGGAAGATGGTGCATGCCTCAGCTGAGTTGTGTACAATGAAATCAGTCAGATGAAGAAGAGGGCTAAGTCCTCCTGTCCAAGGAACAGCCTAGGGAAAGTGATGGTAGCCTGAGAGAGGCTTGGCAAAGGCTGGGAGGCTGTGCTGCTCAGGCACGAGGCATGATGGGAATTGGGACAGGTGAGGTTGCAGGAAGTTGTAGAAGGGCTAGACTATCAAAGACCGTACAAGCTCTCTTAAGAAGTTAAATTTTTATCTCAATGGTTATGGAGAATCACCTAATTACTTTAAGCAAAAGAATGACAGAATTAGATATTATGGAGTCATAAGTTTTGAAGGTACTGAATTGGGAAGGAAGACTTATGACTGGTAGGAGGTAACTGCAGGAATCTAAGTGAATTATGAGAGTTTGTGCTGTAGCTAAAGTCATGTAATATTTATAAAGACATGTTATGATATGCATTTTCATGTAGTCACTCATGGACATTATCTCCATATGTGTGTTTTTTCACTTTGTCCATTTATGGGCTAGGAAACCGAGGTTGAGGTAGTTGCTCCAGATCACATAAGTGGGTGAACTGGGATTGGACCTCATGTTAACATTTCCATATGACACAATGGCAAGGGGGGAGAGAGGGAGGGGGGAAAATGATATTTAGGAAGTAGAACTGAATGGAAGTGATGACCATTGCTTTGCAATTAGATGTTAGGGCAGAGTGCAAGGTATCTCCTCAGTTCCTAGGCTTCCTGTTAGCATTTCTGTGTCATTCATTTTAGCAGGGAACAGACGATGGAGAGGTGATGAGTTAAAGCTAGAGCACATTTTTGTGACAAACATTGGCACTGTATTGAGCAAACTTGGCCATTCTGTAGGGAAAGGAGGCATCAGTCAGTGGGATGCCAGATAACATAATTGGGACTAATCCAGAAACCCTGGGATACACACATTATATGATTTAAAATTCCTATAAAAAATACAGAAGAACATGGGAAAGGTTGCAACAGAGGTCTAAAACTTGGCAGAAAGAGCTGATTTGTTATTTGTAAATTGTATAATTGGTGAAACCATGATAGTAAAGGCAGTGGTGTTGAGATGAGGAAAAAACTAAGGATCAAATTGTAGTGAATGAAAAATAAGGACAGCAGGTGCAATCTAGAATTTCCAATTAAGATTATATACAAAATTATATGCTACTATATCCTCTCACCAAGTTAGTGGCATTTACACTATTCAGAAAGCCACATTGTTTAATAAATTGTCCATCTAAGTAAGATGAGTTTAACTGATTAGCTAATAATTTCAGAATGAGAATGAAGGAGGTATGCATCTATGCTGATTTATTTGGGATCAATAGTTATCTTACTACAGAAAGCAAACCAAGTACCATCTTCAATATGATTACAATTAACATTCACACATTGGATTTCACAATCATATGAGGTACCCCTCATGTCCCTTGGAATAAACCTTTTTGCCTCAAATGCAAGTTGGGCCACTGTTATTTCACATTCCTCACTATCTGAATTAAAGCAAAGGTTTATTAAAGAAATTAACTACGTTTTTATTAAGGAAATAAAAAAATTGTAGCTTGGTTTCAGTCCTCTGGATCCACTGGTTGGATGCAGACTAATTCCACATACACTTGAGAATGTCTTTATCCTAAAGGATGCTATTACAGCAAGAATATAATTATTGCTGAATCTATATATGTAAATATATATATATTCATATCAAGATAACATTGCATCTTCATCATTCAGGATCTCAGAGATTTTCAAGGACATTTTTTACTAAATGTAGTATTTCACTTATTAGCTTTCTCCTCTTCAGATGTACCTGCTACTCATGTTTTCTCATAGAACTAGATAAAAGCAGAGCTGAGTGTATAGCATAGATCTTCAGACTCCTAGGTCACTGATTTTCTGTCACATACAGTGTCACTTTGCATGTTCAAGAAATACAACCTAAGTTCAATAGTCATTTTAATAAATATAAAAGGATATTTGCCAGGGCATATTTAAAAATTCTCCATATAAAGCATATATAATTTCATATATATATGAAATTAGCTGCTATAAAGATCTATAATCTATTTAGGCTAAACTTCCTTTCCATTAGTATATCTAATAAAATTTTAATGTATATTTATTATTTTAGAGAGAGAGGGATATAGAGAAACATGGATGAGAGAACCATCAATTAGCTGCTTCCTGCATGCCTCCTACTGGGGAAAGAGCCCACAATGCATGTGCCTTGACCCAGAGTAGAACAGGGGACCTTTTCAACCACTGAGGCAGAATGGCGGGACTATCTAATCAAAATTTGAATTGCATTCTTTTTCTTTAAGTTTTTAACTTTATTACTCTTAAAGAATACCACAATCATTCTACTATAAAAAAAATCAAGAAAGCTGTATGTTGTTTAACTGGTTAAAAAAGTCAGCTTTTTGTGTATGACATTCAGAAATCCAACCTGAAAGGAATGAATGACTTAAAATATTCTTTTTATACTCACGTGAGAAGCAAACACACACAGAGTTAGAGAGAAGAAATATGAAATCTAGAGTCTGTCCCTGGTTGCCTGTCAGTAGACTTTTTTTTTTTTTCTTCCCATAAATACCATCCCCACTACAAAGCAACTGTACTGGGCTGTTGCACTCAGCACTTACTATTGACAATAGCTGTAGGCAAAATAGAAGCCATGGCGGCTTGTTGAGGAAGCAGCTGAATTGAGTCCAGCAGGCGGGCAGGGTACATCCCTTCTGTAAGAGACATCTGACTGGCAGCTTGGAGCCTTGAGTCAAAATCCACCACAAAGGCAATTAGCTCTTCGCCCTCTGAGATGGCCTTCGTTGTTGTGCACCAAAGTTGACCCCCTGTTAAGAAGAGAAAAAAAGAAAAAAGAAAAAAAAGAAGAAAGAGGAAGATAGAATTGACATAGAATGTTCCAGCCTGCTGTAATTAGATTGATGTCAATAGCACCTTCTCATGTTTTACACACCAGTTTCACCTGGGGTGAGAGGGGGAGTGGAGTGTTCGATCAAGACAACAGTCAAACTCCTCTTCCCTACCAACCATGTGAGAAATTGTACTCCTTGCATCCAATGAACTGTTCATTGGTCAATAGTAAGAGAAGACTAAGAAACAGGTCTAGACATAATCACTAGAGAGTTTTGTCAACTCTGCCTTCTGGGCTTGCCTTAATCGTATCCTGCCTAAGAACAAGCATGATAGGGGGTCAACCACAAACATTTCCTTCAGGTGAGTTTCTGAAGTTTCTCTTTCTGTACCTTATGGAAGTAAAATTTATTTCCCTCCAGCTCCCACTCTCTTCCCAAAATACGTCATTATATCATTACCAGATAACTCCAAACTACAAAACAAGTAAATAAAAGGTCCTAAAATCTGGAACCTTAAGGCACAATTTCTGTTAGTTTTACACCCTTTATGTCTGTTGACATTTTTTTTTTTTCCTGGCTGAGTGATTTTTACTTATATAATGTTCCTTATAACGTGGCTTCTTTATCTCCATTTACCCTGATTGAACTTCCTGAAAAGAAGACAGGCCGAAGATCCTTTTCAAAAAGGCTTATTTAAATAAAGATTTGTTTAAACGAAAAGAACTCTTTCCTCAAACACTGAGATATACTCTGGCTCTGTGCTTCAAATGATCACGTGTGGTGCATTAAAAAGAAAATTAACTATGCAAGGCCATCTTCTAATGTATTGGAATGCGATAGCAAATGCTCATTTATTTTACATGTTTAGACAGGCTAAGCACTTATATTTTGTTATCTACACTCTCAGGCCTAGATACGTATCCTATACAGTTATGGCTGGAATAATGTGGCATACTTGATATGTTATAAAGCTATTTTTTCCCCTTGTGTATATATTGCAAGGCTATATATTGTACTCATTAAGCAGGCAAAAATCGTACCCATTCTGATAAGTAATATTGCTCTGTTTATCTCTCAGCATTACTGTCTCTTCAACTGTACTTCATTTTTTCCCCCACCTTCAGAAAGATTTTAGTTTTTAAACAACTTGTGGTAAAAATCTGGAGGGAAAGATAACAACAGCATATGACATGGCAGAGTTGCACAGAAGGAGGGGGACATTGTTTTACTGGGAACTTGGACAAATAATTAAACCAGCTGATGAAGTTTTAAAGGTAAAGGAACAAAACACCTTTTGTGGACAATAGATTTTTGTGAAGCAATAAAGGATTACAGACTTCAAATGAGTGTGAAAGTTTCAAAGTGAGACACCAACATCCTAAAAGACTAGAAAAACAACTTCACTTTTTATTTCACTTTGACTCTAAAGGATCTTGAAACCAGAGAGGAGAAACAGATTCACTTTGGCCCTGGTTTATGCACTTCTATTTTGACTGTGTCAATTATTTGATAAAATGAAGTTGTATTTTCCTCACTTTAGAGCTGAGAAAACTGAAGCTTGGAGAGGTTAATTAACTTGCCCAAAGACACAGGCATGGTCAGTGCCAGAATCAGGACTTAGACTCTCATGTGTCTGGCTTCAAAGCCCAAGTATGCAAGTGCATGTGTGTTGTATACACGTGTGTGTATGTGCAAGCATGGATATACTGAATTCTGCATTGATAATGTAGCATCTGAGGTATATGAGAGACTTGGGGTCAATTCATTTAGAAGGCAGTTGGAATCTGGAGGAGATAAAAGGATGGACAAAACTCTTGTTTTAGAAGCCATGGGCACATTCTAAATGACTTGATGGTCTTAACATTACTGTGGTAACTCAGGAGGAGTACAGTATGAAAAGGAAAAAAGATTGAGACTGGGAATCTCAACATTAAAGATGGGGGTAGAGGACACGGAATCATTTAAAGATAGAGAGAGCGTATATTTGGAAAAGTTAAAGGGAACCAAGAGAATGACTCCAAAAAGATCATGGGCTGGCTCTTTGAACTGTTTGGCTGAGTTTTCTTTAGATGGTAAATGTATAGGACTTGATGGAGTTATTTATAATGTGAGATGCCCCAAGTATTGACACTCAGTGTCAGTTAGTGATTAAAATAAAATATTTTAAGTGTGATTGCCGGTGAGGGAGAGAAGCCTCTCCTGAAGAAGTATGGACTATGCAGCCAGAGGGGCAGATGTTGGCTCTGCCACTTACTATGTGACTTTGAACTTGTCACCTTAGCATCCTGCCTATCAGTGTCATCACCCTTGAAAATGGGGTTGATGATAATAGTACTGAACTTCTGGTGTTATTAGGATTAAATAAGTTAATTAATATACATGAAAGCTTAAGAATAGCACCTGGCATGTATTAAGTACTATATAATTGTTAACCATTATCCTTTTGGTTTGCTCTGATTGAGGCTATTATTCTCATTTCTCATTGCCCGGCTGAATCCAAGAAATCTTACCAGAGAGACAAGAGAAACCTATGCATTCAATGAGCAAATGCATCTATGCTATACTGGTAAGAGCTAACTCATTTCAGAATGAAGGATGAAGGCTACATCCATTTGTAAATCACAATTTGTATCTTGACTGGTTAGAAATAGTTTCCAACAATTAACTTGGAGCTGAAGAGGCAGGGGAACTCATTTTCTACTGTTTTTAGAGCAAGGGAAAATATGGCCAACTCTAATTTACAGTTGAATGGAAGGCAGTAGCATTCATCTTGACTAAGAAGCAATCTGAGTGCAAGAAAAATCATACTGATATTTAGCTATTTTGATATCTTCACTGATTGACCTCATGTCAATGGAAACAAATCATAAGATAGTATATTGGCTTCAAAATGAGAGCATCACTATCAAACCAAACCAAACCCAGAAAATAACAAGTATTGGCCAGGGTGTGAGAAATTAGAAGCCTGTTCACAGCTGATGAAGGTAAAATGGTACAACCACTGTGGAACAGTGTGGCATTCCCTCAAAAACTTACAAATAGAATTACCTGATGACCCAGAAGGATTAAAAGCAGGTATTTATTTGCACACCCATGTTCAGAGCTGGAGCAGTAAAAATTGCTCACACATGGAAGCAACCCAAGTATCCATTGACAAAAGCATAAATAAGGAAAATGTGGTATATTCATACAATGGAATATTATTCAGCTTTAAAAAGGAAGGAAAATCTGACAATGCTACAAAATAGATGAGCCTTGAAGACATTATGCTAAGTGAAATAAGCCAGTCACAAAAGGAAAAATACTATATTTCCCCCCTTATACTTAGAGTATTCAAAATCAAGGAGACAGAAAGTAAATAGAGAATTACTGCTTAATGGGTACAGGATTTCAGTTCGGCAAGATGAAAAGAATTCTGGAGATGGCTGGTGGTTATGTTTGCACAACAATGTTAATGTACTTAATGCCAGTGAACAAACAGTATACTTAAAGATAATTAAAATAGGAAATCTTATGTCATATGTTTTTTTTTACCACAATAAAGACATTGGGAAAAAAAATGAGGGTAACATTTCTTCACTAAAAAGTGTCCACTTTGAACACAGACTATTGCCATAGCTAAGAAGAGGAATATGCTATATAATAATGGGGAAACATGTAAATTGACAGTACCTCTGCTACACTCACCAGCCAATCAGGAGTGAGTATGCAGATTAACCCAACAAAGATGGAAGGTTAATTTACATACACAGGCATCAGATGGAGAGCAGAGAGGGAAAGATGGTGACTTGGAGGACTTGGCTGAGAGCAAGGCCATGGGATGGAGATAGAGCAGAAAGGGAAATCCAAGAGTGCCTGGAGCACCAGAAATTCTGGGATTAGTAGTTCTGGTGGCAGCTCCAGGACAGGAAGCGTAAGCCCAGAGCACAGGGAGCACCAGGAATGCTGGGAATCGTAGTTCTGGTGGCAGATAGATCTCCTAGACATTAGAGCAAAGTGAGCCTGGAGCGAGTTACTGTTGTGGTGGGGGATGGAGGGAAAGCAAAGGTGAGAGACATAAGTAAAATCAGAGTGTCTGGGAAAAATTAAAGAAAATATATCCTAAAACTTCCAGGAAATCTCCACCAATGAAGCAAAGAAAAAAAAAAGCCTCTATTAATCTGTGTTCTGTGAGCAACAAATCAAACTGGGTTGGGATCTCAGATAATTCGTTCATATGATTGCAAAGATGGACAGAAACTTCTGGATTGGAGAGGGCTCCCCTGAGGGCTCCCAGATTGGAGAGGGTGCAAGTCGGGCTGAGGCCTGCCACGCCCCCCCCCCCCCCCCTCTTACCAGTCTTCATGCACTGGGCCTATAGTAGCTTTTATAAAACATTTTTCATATGAGATGGTTCAAAACAGAACAAGAGCCAGGTCTTCTCCCCTCCCAGTTTTCCTAGTAAAGCTACTTATCAAAAGACTTGAAAGCTCAGTCCCCAGGGGGATGAAGTTACTGCTGAGATGGAGTATACTTTATTTGGCCACATTAGCCATTTGTATATGAAATCATTTTGGACTGGAAAAATTGTGAGTTCCTGGTTACTTGGCTGATTTGGGTTTTTGCTGTATTCTGAGTGCCAATTGCTGTCAACTCTCTATGGATATGAAACCTAAAAAACCTAAGCAATGTTTTCTGTAGCTTTCCTATAAGTAGTACGCTTAGTGCCCTTGAGTTACACCTAGAGGATTTTCACTGTACTAATCTACACTCATGATGTATTGATATGAACACAATTAGAATTATGTAAAGGTGTTGAGTGCACATATGGCAATGTCATATGTTTAACTGCCCTCATTCCAGAGCAAATGATTTTGGTTTAAAAGACAACATGATAATTATAAAGTGTAGCTGGCAACCAAAATCACTAAAAATTTATTTGTAAAGAATAAATACCCACAAAAAACAAACAAACAAACAAAACAAAAATTTGTTTG